TGGCATTTCGTGGCTGGTTTCAGCCTTGCGGCATGAAGTCAGCTCTCTCTGCGGGAGCACCCGGAAGCCTCGCAAAGCATTTCTGCCTCGCTTTCCCATCACCGTTCACGCGTAACATGATTCTCATGCCACAGTTGTTCTATCCATGTTCAACTCTTCTCTTCGCACGGTCTACAGCCTCTTCGTGTTCGGTGGAATAATCGAGTGAGCGTGTGCATCAACAACGCCAGCACACTGACGAAATTGACATGGAAGAAGTCTTCACCAAAGGCGATTCCACAGCCCAACGGACTACAGGCAGAAAGCTGACATCGCTGGCGCAACATGTTTCCCCGCCGTGGATGGCTCCGCTACCAATAGTGAGGGTCGTTCAGCGCGATGGCCGTGCAATGGCGCCTCTGTCCAGTATGTGTAGCCATTATATTTGTGCTTATGTAGGTGTTCGCTGGGATAGGGAGCACCCTATTCAAAGGAAAACCCGAACACGCTAGAGCCTACATCAAGATGAAATCCTGCGAAGTTGGTGGCCTAACGGCGACGTAGGCTCCTGGGTGTTCAGTTTTTCCCTTGTATGAGGTGGGAGGGCGCGATCGCCAACTTCGAGACGCTGAGACGTGGTATAGGCATGCTTGAGGGGGGCCGTAATGCGAGAATACATGCGAAGGATATCGAACTTAATTGACGTTAGTGGTAGACAACAACGAGTTCAATGGGAAGACGTACCAGAACAACGCGACAACGGATGGTATGTTGATCGAAGCTAACAGAGTTCCACACGTCGCCATTTGTGACTACCTTGTATCATTCTCGAACAAGCCTCTATTGTAAATGCAGCTCAGCAGCAGGTAGTAGCATTGTAAAGTTTAGAGGGTTAGTTGTAATATCGCGTCTAGCGAACTGGATGACGCAGACACTCCTAATGGTCTCTTCTTTCCAAAGTCCGTGTGCGAACACGGCGAAGCGGCTTTGGTTTCTCGAGTGGCAATTACCGTAATGGTCTTATTCGATGAGCGAGAAGACATGTCCGGGATCCAGTTTAACTGAAGCTTGAGTCGGCGATTTCGCACGCGCGGCCCTAGAGGATGCTGACACGCTGTCGTGATATGCGTACAAACGGATTGCGCTCGACATGTTCGATGTTTGCGCAAAGTCAGTGATAGGACAATTGGTAGGCAGGGAGTCAATAGAGCCTGGGCTGGAAGAGTCGATGGTTAACCATGATGCTCGCCCGAGGATCTGGTGTTCAGGGCATGCAGGGCCTTGCCGCTAGCGCACCCGACGCGCCAACGCCCGCGGTCCCCGCCCAAAACACTGACACGTGACTGAGCGCGTTGGGTCTCAACGGTCAGTCAATTCTCTCGGCTTCCTGCTTTAGAAAACGAAATTGAATGAGCGGCTTTTCATGAGACCCTCTGATTCTATCATGCGTGACTACAGTAACTCAGTCTACCTGCGAACAACGAAATGAGCCCAACGAAGCCTCGCGATACCCCCCAGCACCGGCTGCCGCTGCGAAGCCCAGAACACGACCAAACGAATTACATTCCAGGTAGCGCGTGCTACCTCGAGGAAGCGAGAGTACCGAGCAGTTCAAGAGCTAGCTCTCGCCTCCACGTCACCAACCCATCGCTCGCGAACAGTTCTTCATCGTCAAAGCACGTCCACGCCTCGAACCTCGCATCGGTGTCCTCTTCTATCGAATCATCGACATCGATTAAGATTGTGCAGGCGACAGTGCTCTGGTCTTCGGTACCCGTTCTTCCAGGTCCACCACCGTCATCGTGATCTCCAACGACTGAGGCTCATGACGCATGGCTCTCCTTCCCAAGGTTCCCGCTGCGCCTCACGGAAAGGCGATATTTCCTTGCCACGTTCTCATCTGAAGGTGAGAGAACGGATTTGTACACGTCATATGCTTGATCGCGCGATGCAGTCCGTGCGTCCTGGGATGGTCGAAGGTCTACTATATAACAGCACTCTTCCTCATACCTACACCAACAATCAATCCACTCGGTGCCACCGACGCTCTCCACGGCAGGACGATCGCGCCGGCTATGACCTCACTTCATAGTGAGGTCAATATCGATGTGCTTGCGGCGGAGTAGGAGCACTATGATACCAAGCTTCTCGCACAGCGCCGCGACGTGTAGCGGTGCTCGGCCGTGAGCGTCTCTATGATTGACATGCACCATGAGGTGAGTGTGACTCTCGTGCGTTGGATCATCTTCAGGTAAGAGCATTGTTGAACTGAGGCTGCCGTTACGAGCGGCTCGATGCCAGATGTTCTTTTTTCTGGGCTTGAGCAAATGCTAATTCGAGTAGCCCTCTTTCCACGGTATCGGCGCACATTCCGGACGGCTTTGTCGCAACAATCGAGCTTTGACGGGTCGCATACAAGAATACCTTGATCAAGTCCAACAGCATCTGTACCAGACCCCAGTGTCCTTCCGAGAGCCCCTCGAACAGCAGCGAAGTCCAGCTATCCCTCACGTCACCCCGATCGGCCTGGCCATGTTCCAGTGATACGCGCAGCATCTTGAGACTGCCGTCCTGCGCCGCCGCATGCCGCAGCCCATCTTCGAAGGACCGAAGGGTCGATTGACATCGACATCCTGTCGATGTGGCAAGAGCGCTACCGCCTCTGTGTATCCATCAGGAACAGCGGCCTGCAGTGGCATCATCTGGAGGCCAGATAGGTCCGGACATCGACATCGAGTTCTTGGTCGTCGAAGGCTTTGCGCATCAGCGGTATGACATCCACGTACCCTCTAGGGCCTGCAAGATGCAAGGTAAGTGAACTCATGTATCTCACTTGGTGTTCTCTGCTGACGATTACTACAAGATGCTGGATTAGTGTATCCACGACATTGAGATGTTCCTTCGATGTCGCAATCCCCAGAGCCGATATTCGTGGGTGGTGCCTGCCATTCCAGAGGCTTGGCTGAACTCAACAACTACCATCGCACCTGCCCGCCTCAGGTATGTCAGACAAGCATCACGTCATGTCCTTCGTTCTTTCTTCTCCGCTCATCTCACTTCTGAATTTCTTCAACCCTTCTCGAGCGGCATCATGGCTTCTCAAGCCTACTCCACGATTGCTGACCTAGCTTTCGAAGTCCTCTCCTGCGACCGATCCGCCTCTCGACTCGCCCGGAACATGTTCCACAACCGCGCATCTATCTCCGAAGCCTTCGACTATTTTGCGGTTCTGTTTCCGACATCTTTGCTCGCAATTCTGCAAAGTTCCGTGCCGCCTTCTCCAGATTCTCTCTTGGCCTGTTCGCTTCCTCTCGACATTATCTCCTCTTCTACGTGGATTGTCTATCTTCACTTCATGGAGAAGGATGGCGAGCTGTTCATCAACGTCTACTGTGGATCCGGGACCGCTGACTCTGGCGCGATCACACGGATCAAGCAATACGAAAGTTACTTTGCCGGCCGTGCTAATGGTGCTCAAATTCCAACGTGCATCAAAGACCTGGTTGCAGAAGGTTACGTTCTGAAAGGAACGTCATGTCTGGCCGCAAGCACGATTTTCAGTGACGCGGCTGACTTCAACTTCGAGCGAGCACTGATCCTACTCCTGGAATCAACATTCACAACGAAGCTCTGGTTCTTTAAGTCAGCAACCTTTGGCTCAGTCACTCCTTTGTCACTCTGGCCACAAGCAACACTTCCGTATCGCGGTCTGTGTGGCACGTCCGCAGTTCGGGAAATTGCCCCGCCAAAAGTTTTCGACGTGCTTAGTGTTAAAGATGAGAGCACTTACAAAGAGAGGGAGCAGGATAGGAAAGAGAGGCAGAAGGTGTACAGCGCAAAGCGGCGATCGGTTACGTTTTATTGCGAAAACTGCCCAAATGGATTCAAAACAGTCTACAAGAGCAGCATGATATATCACAAGACAATATGTGGACTTCCCAGAAAATCCAGGGGAAGGCGCAGGTCAATGAAGCAGATTGCACTCGACAAGGCTGCAGCAGAAGACAGAGCGGAGGCAGATCGAGTGGAGTTGGCGTCAGCAAGTCATGCGGCTTTGTCCGATGACGAGTGGATAGGAGATTAGGAGGGCCAACAGACAAGGTGTGAGCTTAATTGTAGCGTTTCAAGGTCTCATAATGTTTCGAGGATGAATGTTTTCGATGATATAATACAATAGTCATTACCGAATACTTCATGATCGAGATCCCATTTCCATTGCTATCTTCATCTTTTGCAAGAAAAATACGCAACACCCTGGAGTCTACGTCAGGTATTCGAGCAAAAGGTTGACGAAACGTTGACACAATGTAGGCTTCTGGGATGCCTCAACCACCTGCATCGAAGGTAGAACCTTGAGATACCCTGCTGTCTACATCGATATTAAGATAGTAAGTTGGCAAACCTTGAACGCAATGTAGGCTTCAAAGGACATCATGACCCTGTTCGTTCAGGACAAACCTGAATACAATGTGGAGTCTACATCAACGCCAGATATTCAAATATGCTTTTTTATTTCCAGTATAGTCTTCAAACCTGTGTGGCCATTCACATGCGTTCAGGAGACAACTGCTTTATTATGAAACCAAAAGGCTTCCGTTCTACATGGTCTATCCCCAAACCAAACCAAACCGCCAACCCATCAAAGGAGCTTCTCCAGGGAGAGAGATAGAAAGTAAAATTGCACCCATCTCAGCTACAGAGGCTGAAAGCTTGTCCTATCCTGATGTTCCCGTGATGTGTTCCAGTAAAGTACTGAGCTCGCGCACCAAGCTCATCTCGAACCAGCACAAAACCACCGAACAATTGCCAAGCATCAGAAAGTCAGGAAGGATAGATCGAAGGCAACCCCTAGATGCTGCACAAGAAGGAAGAAACATCATCGTTCATAGTAGAGAACGAGCCGTGAGAGCGGATGTCAGCGACCTCACCACTGGTAGCAATCTCGCCGTTTCCATTGCGGCAACCGGTATCGCTACGAGACAGTGAGCTTATGCAATCCCAGACCCAAATTCTGCGACCACTTACTTGTAGAAGATGCAGTTATGGCCGTTCGCCTTGAGCGAGCTGACCTTGTCGTTCAGCCTTCCGGCACCCTCTGCTGGATGTTAGCTACCAAGTTGTAGAGATTGGAGGTGTTGGGAAGCACTTGCCGCAGATGCCAAAGTGGAAGTTCACATTGAGGCAATCGTTGAAGTCCTTGTTGGAGCAGAGCTGGACGCTGGGGTTGAGCTGCCTCTGCTGGATGGAGGCGGCGAAGGCAGCCGAGGAGGCGAAAAGGGCGAGGATGATGGTTTTGGAGAACATTTTGTTGGGTTGGGATGAGTCGATGGAGGACTGGGAGTGGTGAAGTGTGATGGTTGAGTGTTTGAAAGTGATGATTGTAGATGATGAGAGATATCTGTTTCTGCGGGAGTTGTTCAGTTCTTATAGCTTTTGCAACGCATTCAACCCAACCCTCTTTCATGTCTAACACATCTTCCGGCACTGTCTTCGACCCCCAAAAGTCATAGCCATGAGCAAGTATTGGCGGTCTCTCATCGCTGAGCCCTGAATACGGCCGTGACTGATTCGAGCAAATGAAGCCAAGTACGCTGAGATGTTGTGTAAAGGGCCTACACCTCACCGACAAGTAATCGCTTAATGCAGACCAAGTGTAGCAAATCATCTCTTGAGCATACCATGATGGACGCAAGACGTGAAGTTCGAAGTAACAAGCTTGGCAGCCGTTGATTAGTATACACCGGGGAACTACCAAGACCGTGCTCGGACCGGTCTGAACAGTCGAGCGGATCCAGAAAGACGGACCGATCCAGGTAGTCGCAAGACCCTGAACGACCCTGAATCGTAGGGCTGACATGGTGGAGACGGTCCTAATGCAGGTGATAAGTCTAGATTTGTGCCTGGATTTGGACCGAGTGGGAATAGCGAGGCAATCCTGATGACTGATACTCAGCGGTGAAGAGAGCTAAGATACGTTTTCGGCTAGCGACCCAAGTCCTTGGAACTCACAATGTTACTGCATTTGGCAGTGACTGTACTTCTGGTAATTTCGTATCAGTGCTGGGCGTGCTGCTTCTGTCAGTGAATAGACCCGATGTCAGCGAAAGCGCGAGCAGTCCAAGTCTTTAGGGCTGATTCGAATACGGCCTCAGTAACAATCGTATGCTTGGTAGTTTGTCACCGTCGCGGTACTTTCTGCTTCGGCGCGAATGCAGCGGATGTCGATGAGGATGTGAGCGGAGAGCCAGCAGTCGTTGCATCCGTATCCGACGCCGGATGTAGTGTCTCAGTAATCGGGTATCGAGGCGATGTATGTTGAACGAAGCTGTAGAAGTTATAAGACCCGGAGGAAAGGCTTTCTTTCAGCATCAGCTCAGTACTTCACTATTCTTCCTGCATCCTCACCTCAAATCCTTCACCTTCTCATTCCTATACCACAGCCTTCATCAGCTACCCTACCTTACCATGACTGCCTCATTCATCAAGCTATCCCTCCTTGCTACCGCCAGCATGGCCGCAGCCGCCAGCATCAATGCGACGGCCAACATCGACATCGACGTTTCTTTGGGAGCAATCCCCATCGAGGTCATCGCCGAGAAGGTCCACGTTCCCACGAAGGCCATGGTCGACCTCCTCAACACCGTCGACTATGTCACGATGACCGTGGAAGACTGGTGCCCCCTCCTGCAGCAACCCGTCGAAGCCGTCCAGGCCTGGCCAGACCACGTCAAAGAATACGTCTTCACTGAACTCTCGCTCGAGGTCTCGGCCCTGGTCGCCCCGGAAGCCGCACGCGTCGACGCAGTGTCGGAAGTCAAGAGCAACAAGCTTGCCGCTCGCAACGACTCGGTCCGTCGCATGGAGCGTCAGGCGCTTGCCCTTCACGACGCGCGTATCAAGTCAGGCCGAAGCGGCTGCTTCCAGAACTGGGCGTGTGGCTCTTGCGTCGTTGCTGCTGGGCTCGCAGGCGCTTCCGGTATCGCTGGGTGCACTGGCGCTGCTTTGGCCGCGGTTGAAGGCACCGCTGGCTTTGCTCTCGCCGCAGTTTATGCTGCCTATGTTGAGTGCACTACCAAAGTTGGTGGTGCTACTACCGCCGCCATTGGTGTTTGCCACGCTGGCCTCTAGTTCGACAATTGTCGGGTGATTTGCGGCTGATGTAGCAGGGTAAGTCGTCTGTTTTCTATTCGTGTTTTTGTAGATCTTCAGACTAATCTTATCGCAGAAGTTATATCGAGGCGTCACTTCTGCTAATGTGTTAGGCAATCTCGAGATGGAAGCAAGGGGTTACTGTGGCAAGACTTGGTGGCTCTGCGCCGTAGCCACCATGTCTATTTTTGGTCTATTTTTGATTAATGTAATGTTTGCTACTGTAATGGGAGAAAGTAGTTAATTGTTTGGTGGTATCTAGTCGATGAATCAACAGATTCATTACTCACCCGCGTCCCGTGTTCCGAGTATCACCACGCCTAACGCGCGGTGACATGCATGTGCACGTCTCTTCTCCGCTTAAAGACCTCGACCGCCGCATTCCCGCCTATGGAACCAAACCAACTCCACACCTTGCATGTCAGCGATCAGCGCAAACCCTTGCGGCTCGTCGAAATCGCCATGAGCTGCACGAGTAGCTGCCGTATGCGGCTAGAGGGCCCCGCAAGTCTGGACCCTGAAAAGACGTCACCCGCCAAGATATGATGGCATAGCATCAGCCGCTATTGCTCAAATACATGGCAGTCGCTTAGGACCGATGTGAACGAACAATTACGATTCTTTTTGCTGCACACCTGCATACCAAAGACCCTGAACTTTCGGTGCGGTCCTTCTACGGCCTCTAGGAACTACCCAGCTGACTGATAGACAGGGACCAGTACCCTCCAATCACACTATTCGACACGGCACCGCCTAGGCCCTAATAGTAGTCTACAGACTTCACGTACGTTTACGCTCCAAGGATACCCAAGATGTATGAGGGTCTATGCTAAGACTTCACAGCACACACCCTCTCCACCATGAGTTCACGACCATCTCTCATGCCGCCCACCGAGGGCTCCTTCCTTTCCTCGGGCGCCTTCACTCCTTCCGGCCTCACACCCAACACACGCTCCCAAGCCGAAGCCGCCTTCACCTCCAACAGCACTTCGCAAACCGATGCGGCCGCCCCCGACCCAAACCTTCTGCCCCTAATGGGTGCCGGTGGAGGAAACGAGACAACAACAGACAAAGGCCCAACTGAAGCTGTCCGGGCTTACACTGGCTACCGCCGCCCTGGCATGGCTCGAGCAAGCTCAGCAAACTACGAGAACGCACTGAAGCGAGCGCAGCAAGCATCCGTCTCGTCCGACTTCTCTGCCGACTCTGAAGTACCCGACAACGTCACTACGGGCCAAACAGTCGCGTCGCCTACAGGCTCCACTCCATTCCCTCCTCCCGGCCAAGGTGTAGTGCCCCTCAACTACGGCTCTACTCCCGTTGGCGCCGCTCAAGGCGAAGCAGTCAAGAAGACTCGTTCGCGTGGCTTGAGTCTCAGTGGCCTTGCCCAGCAGCAGGGCTGGAGCGAGCAGGATTACAAGCGCGTATATAGCGCCGATTTGCTTGCCGAAGATCCGAAGAACAGCGCTGGTTATGGCTCAGGCCCGAAATAGGAGGCGAGCATGACATCACGGTGCGTGCCGCCGTTCAGCCAAAGGGATTACAGCGGCCATGATCAGGACCGCCGACTTGCTACAACTGCTATTACACTTTACCATATCATGAGCTACACGCAAGGCGTTGGGTGGAGTTCTGCCAAAACATCGAGGTCGCAGGCCGACGATACTTTTTAATACATCGATTATGATCTAATGCGGAGTCGCCATCATCGTTGACGTGAAATCTCCAATAACATTGCGCATCGTCGAATGAGTATAATGAAGGTCGACATATAGCAACTACTAATAGCGCAGCATCATGTTACCGTCATCCATCATCTTCCTATATTTCTCGCATCTCAGTCTGTTGTTGCACCTGTATGCCTCTCCACCCTCTCTACACTGCTCTGGTCCTACGCAGCATGTCATATCTCTACATTCGGTCCAGCAAGTCCTTCGCCCGCATGTTTCCTCACATCGCTCCCTGAACCCTTCATTTTCACCATGAAGCCTTTCGCACTTCCTTTCGCACTTCAGATGAGCACTACCCATGTCACAGGTCTCCAGACATGTGTCGCGAAAGGCATTGCAAACCCGAGAAGAGGACTCGGATTCAACCGATGCATACTTGAGTAATGGTGAGGTCGAGTTCTGCGTCCCCAAAGAACGAAAGGGTAAGACACAAGAGCCAGTCTGGCAATACGTTGGGGTACTAGCCCGACAAGACTCCACACAATCTCCATCCGGTGCAAGCGAAGCGTTGATCTCCTGCCATGTTTGTTGCTGGCATTGCGTATGGTTCTTGAAGCAATTGGGCCAGCGTAAACTGTCCGCAAGACCATCGAGTGTAGGGGGAATACACCTGTCGTGTATGCATCTAACCCAGGACTTCAAACAGTCTTTGCATTCCATCGTATGAGCCGGTTCGAGAAGGCCAGCACGATCAGCGAGGTCTTTGCAGATCTCGCGCTCGCACGCCCCGTTGACGCCGCAGTGTAAGGGACCGGCTGTGCAGAGCTGGAGCTCGCATTGTAGAGTTCGCTGGTGGTCTGTTGTGTGGAGAGGGTAGGGCGGGGCGAATCCATGCCACGGGGGACTGTATGCCATTTTGCGTTCGTGAGGTCTCTCGCAGTTATTCAGGTATAGCTGACAGTCCGCACACGTTGTCGCTTTCTCCTCGCCTGCGCTCATTCTCGCTTCAGCATTCGCCATCCTATTGAGCTCTACATTTTGCAGAGACAGGATAGGAAAACGACCAGTGAGACTGACGTCGCAAAACGCACACTCGGAGCATTCGTGATCGCTGCAGAGATCGTCGGCGGTGTTTCTATACGATGATGTCATTGCAAGTACGAGGTCTTCGGCAGCGTCGCCCATAAGAGAGCGGTAGTCGGCGTAGCATGAAGGGTCGCATGTTTGCTGTTCCGACCCTCGAACACCGAATAAGGAGGAGAAAGAAAGTGCGCGTACAGTGAACGGAAGAGATAGGATAATGGAGGCTTTTGATAGTAGCATGGCGGCGAATGGGGTGGGTTGGTGTCGGTTGATTGTGACGAAACGAACCTTAAAGCGGGGGCCAGAACTTTGAACATGAGAGGAATATCGTTTTAGGAAGTGCGTCGTGGGAAGTTTCACTAAGAGAAAAAGCTAAGAGTGAACTGACCACCTAGGTATTCCCAGCGAGCTCGCGCGAGTCACGTGACTAGTACTCACCGAGAATGACGGGCTTGTATTCCGTTTTCTGCATTCCCGCATCTCGGCACTCAGACAAACCATGAAATCCGACGTAAATTCTCAATATGATATTATGAAACCTAAAAAGAGCAATAGCCCATCGAAACTGTTGGTCGAGCCTGCCCGATCGAGTCGCTTGAATGAGGGTACAAACACTGAGAGCGGAGAAGGCTTGGCTGGATGCGTTGAGGGCCTAGAATATTGCATTGTATGCTATCTGATAGGCTATTAGTTGACCGACAGCGCAAATGTTCTAGAATGAGTTCAGCTACTCGCTCATTCGGGCGTTCGTCAGTATCGGGGTAGCTCTTTCCCTCACTATCGACCTATCACCTGCTTCAGACCATGAGGCAGCCGTTACCTCTACACCGCTCGTGCTTCTAGCTTGGCCCCCTTTTGTACATCGATGTGCTTTGCAGACCGACTTCCTTCACTCCTTCCTTCCTTCCTGTACCCTCAACTTCAATTCTCTCCTCCTACCACTACATTTCACTACCACCTCATCCTACACGCTCATTGAAGATGCGATTCAATAAGATCTTCATGGCTCTGGCCATGGTACTACCTGCGGTGTTCTCTGCCAGTATTCCATCCTCAAAGCAATTCTGCGAGCCAGGCACTCGAAAGTGCGACTACAACGACGTGGTGATCTGCAATGACCAAGGCACTGAATACTGGCTGGATCAGTCATGTAGCCAGACCGCAATTTGTACCATCGACACCAACAACCCCAATGATCACGGCCATTGTATCGAGACGTGCGAAATCCCCGGTGAAGAGCGCTGCCTCGGCAATGAGTGGCGTGTCGCATGCAACAACGAGCACCGATGGAAAGCCATTGAAGCATGCCCTACACCCGGACTATGTAACACACTCATGAACAAGACTTCCTGCGCGACTGCAAACTTGCCACCAGCGCCTCCCCCTGGCACGCCACCGCAACCTGAGCCTTGCAAAACAGAGACCGAGACGCGATGCTCAAACTGGTCCAACGGTCTTTACCGCGTCGAGATGTGCAACTATGATCAATTCTGGATTGCCTATGAGACCTGCGGACCTGAACAATTCTGCATGCACTGGGTGCCTGGTCAATCCGTCAGGCAAGGCCTTACAAAATGCGTCTACGACCCTGAAATCCTGTCCACTGCTCCTCCTCCCAAATCCCTTGACTCGCGCTCATGGATGTCGCAAGGAACCCCTGATGCTCATGAGTATTGCGACACTGGCACATCTCGCTGCTCGGGCAACAAGCGTCAGGAGTGTGTGGATAACGTCTGGAAATCTACCATGTGTCCTAAGTCTTCCGAATGCGTCAAGCATGACGATGTCGTACAGTGCTGGATGAAGCCGCCGACTCTGCCGACCGTACCAGAGCCATGCACGCCAGGAGATCGAAAGTGCGACTCTGATGCATACGCCCTCATGCTATGCGGAGACAACGAGATGTGGCGTACCGAGAAGAAATGCACCACCTATGGAGACTGCATCATTGACAGCCCAGGCCAAGCGCATTGCGAAACTGGTGGTGTAGGTCCGCTGAGCCTCAAACGTCAAACCAAAAGCACTGAATGCGCCTACGGAGATTGGGCCTGCGACAGCCACCAGCGCTTCATGTACAAATGCAACAAAAACGGTACCTGGTCGGTGCCGTACCAGTGCAGCAGGGCCGGTGGCTGCCAATCCGAGGGACCTACAGATGCCTTTCCCAAGGGAAGGATGACCTGCGCGGGCTTTCCGAAGTACCTGTACCCTTACCCCGACAACAGGGTCTGTGAGACGGTCAAGAGCTGCGAGTACATGCTGTATTTGTACCCTACTGCTGTAAGTATCCACCTCCCCTCTCCGTCTCTTCTAATACGACGATACACCTGGGCTTTGCGAACGATGACTAATGCGCGATAGGGCTCACCTGATGCTGAGACTAAGGAGAAGTACCGCAAGAGCATGTGCGCGGATGAGGCTGTAAGTGAACTATTGTCAAGGTTAGAAGGAATGGGCTGACTTTCTTGCAGTGCATGGACTGCGATCGTTGCACTTACAAGCTTGGACACGGAGAGGTGCTACAACCTGACCTGCGCACCCTTATCCATGGATCGCCGGTGCCTGACAATTTTGACTAGTAGTCATGACAGAGTGGGATGAGGTACCATGTCGGCTTGAGTATAACGAAGGCACTTGGTGATGGGGTTGATGTGTGGTGGAAACTACGCACGGCCTAAGAGGGATGTCAATATGTCTCCGATATGGCGAACATTCTGACCTTGGGTAACCCTATGTATAATCACCTGCAGTCCTCTACCAGAATGAATGGCTTACCAGCTGAATCACAAGCTTGCAAGCCGGTGACACTCCAAGTCGATATGGTTCTCTCTTTCTATTCACTATCCACCTCGATGTCATAACATCTTTCACAACGCCGACGCGACTGATCAATTCTCTCACCCACCTCTTTTACCCAACACTCAGTTACCACTCATCCCTCCCCCAACACACGAACCAGACAACCAACACAACCACCGCGCAAACATGCACCCCACCCTCTTCTTCCTACCCATCCTCTCCATAATGACTCTCGCCTTCGCCGCAACACCAACCACAAACACCCGCACCACAACCTACGCATATATCCCCAAGCCCGCAACCCTACTATCCGAGATCCCCGGATCGGGTGTTTGTGACCGAGAGATTGAGTATTGCATGAAGGTACGTATCCGGCACTGAGCCGAGAGAAAGAAGATTTGAAAGAGAGGAGGAGAAAGAGAGAGCAAGAGAAAAGGATCGGTTGCTGGAGTTGAGCTGACAGGTTTGATAGACCAAGATGGGTTTGACGCGACAGCTGCAGATGCAGCAGTGTAAGCTGTGGGCTTGTGCGTTTCATGATACGGTAAGTTGGGTTGGAGAAGGATGGGGATGTGGGATTGGCTGGCTGGCTAACGTGGTTGTAGTGTCCTGGGACTAGGTATTGCGATGTTGAGTATACTCTCTAGTGACATTGTTCAAGGTCGCCGCGGGGAAAACATAAGCTGGTCGGGAATAGAGAAAGAGACATCGGTGTAGATGGTGGTAGAAGGAAGCAGGTAAAGATGTTGTCACCTGGGATAGACTGGATGATTGACAGGTCATCAATGTGGAATACCTCTATATGAGCCAAACGACTCTTCAAACTTTTGTACCTCTTCCTGCGCCGAGCTATGCTTGAAACCACTTTTGTTGTAACCGCAACTCCTGATGCGCCTTTTATGCTGGGCCCCCGAGAAACCTCATCAGGTACCCTCCCAATG